TAAACCATAAGAGGCAATCATATGAGATTATAATACTGAATCAATGAATAAATAAACCTGATGAATGCAGCAACACCTGATCAACCCCAGCCTGCTCACCTACTCACGTGTCTTAGTTCTCAGTAGGCCTATCGCAAATATGATTAGACCACTGTACAGTATTCAGTAAGTGTGGTTCATTTCATAAGATTTTTTATTAATCTTCCCCGCCCCTCCTTTTTTTTTATTACTGGTGACCAGAGCATCTCAAGAGTCCCCAAAAAGCAAAATCCGATATATTGAAGTCCTATTTATCGAGGTTTTACTGTACAGATTTTGAAGGTATGGCACAACTGTACAGAAGGCATGTCTTCTGGAGTTTGGTTTACTCCACTTTCCAAAGGTTAAACCCAACATAACCTGAGTGAATAATAAATAAATAAATAAATAAGTAAATAAATAAATAAAGCAGGCTCATTCTATTTCTCCCTCTCCGTTAAGTGTCTAAATTCAACATTAAGTTGGCTCTCATTTAGTAATTATTGTGACCATTTTCTTGTCCTAGCTGGGGCTCCCATATGCAGCTGTGAGAAAGAAGGCATAATATAAAGGTTGTCATGTACATGTTTGTTTACATTTTAACTCCCCCATCTGAACGAGCCACTGTTTTCGTGACATTATCGACGGCTCTACTACGTCAGAGATGGCCGTCAAAATGGTCTAGTGTGATCCAGGCTTTAGGATGACAGGGAATCACCTTGTTATCCCCTGCCTCAAGTATCAGGAAGAATGACAAGACTCAGAAAGACGTTACATACAGTATTGCTCTACAGTATCTTGTTTTTGTTCTCTATGAGTGGTAGATAAGTACAGTATTAAAGGCTGTAGCTGAATCACTGAAATGTATTTTTTGGTTCATACAAAAACACACATTGAACTGTTTTTTTGCAGGTGATTGCTGCTGGGAAGCCATTCCAAGGGCAGATTGCTCCCCACATGTTGACCGCCACAGCGGGTAAAGCTGGGGTACTTCAGGGAGGTCAAGGTAACTACCTTTCGGTTTGCAACAGAAACAAAATAATTCATTGCTTATCTTCATGTCTTAATGTGTAACTGGGTCACACAGCTTCACAAGTGGTAGTCTAGATGGTAAATTTTGAAGAAGAATTTAATACGAGTATTAAAAATGTTGTCCCAATAGGTTACTCTCCTGCGGCCATCCCAACCACAGGTAGTCAGACGTTGGTGATCGGTCAGTTGCCGGTGGGAGTGATCAGCAGCCAGCAGCACAACATTCTTCCCGCGCATTCCTCCGCACACAAGCCCACTGACATGCAGAAGGTAATATGACACACAAGTGTGTTCAGTTGTACTGTATTTTAGAATTCTTAAACTCAAGATACAGTATATGTTCAGATACAGTACAGTACAGTACCCTGTATTAAAAAATGATGTACAAAATCAGTAAGTTTTCTTTTGATATAATATTGTTGCATGATTACAGCAAGGCATCACGTGGGCGACCCCTGGCACCCTACACTCTCCAGCTCTCCTGGCAACACAGAACCAACCAATATTCATACGTGGTACACAGCCTGGCCAAGAAAATGTGTTCATCTCTAGTCCTCAGCCACAAACAATGCATACTCCTAATTGTAAGTTGGGAGACCAAGTTTCAGCAAGATACTGTACCTACCCCAAGGACAGCTTTGCTCATAGATTAGTTTATATTCTACTTATTATTATTATTATCTTTAGTATCATAATTATTACTACAAATTTACAGTTGTAGAAGGCCACTTCCCCCTCCTCCACTTTTTCAGTTTTTTATTTTATCTTGTAGTTTTAATATATGTAGGGTTGGTGTTGATTTCCATATTTTGACATTTTGTATATGGCCAGTAGATAAAACTGTTAGTGAAGATACCACTTAGATGTAGGAGCAGCCTTCAGTCATGTATCTAGTAGTCAGAGGTGCTTCACTGTGTAACCGATCTTTTGATGATATTTTAGCTATGATGCAGCCTCTGGGATCCATGCAACACACCGCCACTCAGGCCCCCAAGCCACGAGCTGGGATGGAAATGCCTGCCAACATCCAACCTAAAGCACCCAACATGCGTCCACCCATCCTGCCCTCCAATCCTACACAAATTCGTCCAGGTTCATCAGTGTCGACACAGACGGCCGGTCAGCAACTTGCCCCTGGACCTATGACAGCACCCAGAGCGCAGGTGGGCGCATGTCTCATTACTCATAGCCTTTATTTATTACAGTTCTTTAGAATATATATATTTATATTATTATTTGGTACCAGTAGAGTAGAAATTTGCATGTACAGTCGACCCTCGTTAATTCGGACCCCTTTAATTCGGATTTCGGATAATTCGGACAAAATCTGAACGAACTTTTTTTTTTTTTTTCTTTGTAGGAATATTACCTACGCGGACCTTAAGCTAAAATGCTGGTCCACCCACTGCTGGGATAAAACACCAGCGTCTTTTTGGTTAAATGTAACATCTCCACCACTAGTGTAAACAATGGAAACGTAAAATATGTACCAATTAGTAATGAAAAGTTGTGCAGTTCCTTCAGCAAATGAAGCTCACCAACTTACAACAGGCTAAATTACCTTACAACGTGTTTTCAGTATTCTATGTTTAAGTTCTTAGCACAGGCTAACTTATCATATCATATACGGTATAACAGTTCTCATTGATCTACAAAAAATACCGGTAATAAAAACCTTTTTGAAATTTCACACTTTATATAATACCCGGTAATCTACTTCAACCTCCTATTGTTTACAACGATGCATGACGCACCACCAGCTGTTGAGTATCAGCTAGACGGTACACGTGTTTTTCGAATCGTTTTCAGTTAAAAAACTGTTACATCACATGTATATTTTACCTTAACTGTGCCTGAATGAATATATTCTCGGAAATAAACAGTAGTTTTGCTGAAACGTGATGTATTTAAATGTAAAATAGGATAAAATACATGACGAAAACAAAAGACTTTACCTAAGCTTCCGATGTCCTTGAGATGTTATTCGTTTTTTTACTAGTTTTCGGTTAAAATACTGTTATATTACAATGATATTCTATTCATGCTGTGCTTGATATAATACATTTACGGAAATGTAATATTTTTGCTGAAATTTACGTACGTATTACAGTGGAAAGTGGGATAAAATCGTGACGAAAACAATGACTTTGAAATATAATGCAATATTATCCCCTAAATCGGTTAATTCGGACAATCGGCTAAAACGGACACCCTTCTCCCTCTATTAGTCCGAATTAACGAGGGTCGACTGTACAGTATAAAGTAAAGACTTACTTTAACACCCCACTAGATACCATAATAATAGGTACAACTGGTAGACACAATTACTGATGTGTTTTCCTGTATTTAAGTGTAAGAATTCTTTTGTTTTGCTGATTGATGGCAGCATGTTAAAAAAAGGCTGTGTATGTATAAATGGAATGAATGTTCAAAAGACCAAAACATGGTTGTAAATTATAAAGTTTGTTTGAGTGGATGTTTGTGTGCCAGATGTTTGACACCCAAGATTTGCCCGCATGTTACCTTAAATATTGTACAGCCTATAGGTCATCAACGAGTGACCTGAGGTATTCCACCAGCTAAAATTTGTCTCTTCCCCACAGCCAATAAGTGGGGATTTTATAGTTAAATTCTTGATAATGTCCCAGAAATATATTTATGTAAAAGTAATTTGTAAAAAGCAACATTAACGTAGGGATGTTGGGGAGGCTGAGGAAACAGGATAATATGATGGCCTTCAAAAAGTGCAGTACAGTACTCCTTCCAAACAGTGTGGATCTATGTGAGTTTCTTTATTACTACAGGGTACAGTATTGATAGTAAGCCATTCATTTCTGTCTCACTTGTGCTTATATTTCCTGTATCACTCGAGGTATCCCAAGTAATCAATATTTTCCATCAGAACAAGGTGCGTGGCAAGAACAGCTCTAACCGCACGCCTCCAACCATGGCAAATGCACCGCAGATGAACACCTCTCAGATGACCCACAATGCTCTTGCTAATGCTAATGCCATGGCTGCGAATGGTGTCACAGTCAATGCCACCACGCAAGTCATGCAGCAGACGGCAGTGTCACCGGTGCCGATGTCTTCTTCGCCTGTTGTTTCTGTCCCTAATAGTAAAGTTATTTCTCAAGCTCCACCAATGCAAGCTATTACTAGTATGGCTCAAGCTAAGTAAGTCACCTAAATAATGCTGTGTAGGAACCTTTGCTGTTTGTTAAGTGTTTTTGAAATGATATAAAGTTGTGTATTGATAACCAATCAATGAATTTATATCCCAATATGTAGTAGACTTGGTTGTATTATGAATATTATATCTGATTAGGTTACAATTGGTTTAGAAATATAAAGAAATTTGAGATTATCAATCTATTAATGAAAAAGATTGGCTCTTATTGTGATCATGAGGTACTATACCTTAAAATAAATCTTGAAACATATTGTGTAACTCATAAACTGATAAGGTAAATACACTCCCTCAGTGAGCATTGTAACTCTTTTGTGTACAGAGCTGGAGTGCCCATGACCCCTCCGACAGCACCTCTACCACCAGCAGGTCAGCCTCCTCCTGGTTTACCACAGTTGGTCAGAGCTAAACCTCAGCAGCAACAGCAGCAGTGTAACACAACCATTCCTCAAGTGTCCGTAGCTCCCTCACCTCCTACTTTAATATCTAGTGTGTCTCTACAAGCACCAACTCATGTACAGACTTTGACCACCCAATCTCCTATCAGCTCCCCTGCTCCGATCCTTGCTCCTGCCACCACGTCCTTATCTACGCAACAACAGCAACAACAACAACAACAACAACAACAACAACAACAACAACAACAACAACAACAGCAACAGCAACAACAACAGCAGCAACAACAACAGCAACTACAACAACAACAACATCAACACCAACAACAACAACAATATCAGCAACAACAACAGCATCAACAACAACAGCAACATCAACAACATCAACAACAACAACATCAGCAACATCAGCAACATCAGCAACAACAACAGCAACATCACCAACAACAACAACAACCACAACCACAACTTACAATTCCAGTGTCACAAGTGTCAACCTCCCTTCAGCCTCCAACACTAGCACCAGCGATGGCACCCATATCTTCAACACCTCCAACACTCCAAGTCAAACCAGAGATAAAAACAGAGAACAACACAGCCAAGAAAGTGAATCACATAACCCCCATGACAACCGAGAGCAATTCAACCAAGAAAGTTAATGCTGTTACGTCTATGCCTGCGCAATTGTCAGGAACCACAACACACATGACGCAAGCGACAATGCCCCAGCAAGTACCGGCAGTGCCAACGATGAATGGTACGCCATCCAGTGAGAGTGGAGAGGGTAAGTAAATTCAATGGGCATAGGACAGATTTGTATATAGAGAATGAAGAAGTTACAAAAGGTATATACAAGTAATTGGTACAGCTGAAGAAAAAAAGAAGGATTCAGAATATTCAAAAGATTGGTTGAGTCAATTAGACGATTAAGGTGTTGGCACACATAATCAGACTCTTACAGGGAGTCTAGCCTGGCATGTTAACTCAGTAAGGAAAATTAATAAGATAAAAAGCATTCAGGTTATGTAAAAGTATTTTTGAGGCATTGACATTATATTCACAATGAAGATAGAAAAGTATAGGTGTGATTATCGTTATATACCGTAATTTCTTTCCAAAGCCTTCTCTTACTCATACCTTTTGCTTTCATCTGCTGTAATTCATTAATTCTTACAGCTATAAAAGATGTATTCTTTCACAACAAGGCCCAAAATGAGGTTTACTGTTATTACTTCACACAAGCCAGCACTGCAGCTTGACCTTCCTGGTTAAGTGAGAATTCCCAGAACCTCATATTTTCTCTTCACTTTACCCTTTCCCTAAAGCAAATGCTGTTTACTCTCTGTAATCCACTGATCCACAGTATTCTGCAACAGACCCTCCTCCTGCTCCTGTCATGTCACAAATCAACATTTCATCGGCAAACAACACCATCACAATGTTCACTCCTACTCTCAGACTTTACTCCCTCTTGTCTGTTTTTGCCCTTCACCTTTGTTTTACACAATAAGGACATCAAGTTTTATTTCATCATCAATTTTACATTCAGCCTTCCTTATTACTTATCCCACCCATCCACATACACACATACACTCAAAGATTCCATTATGATTTGCTTTTGTTTATTTTTAGGAACCAAATAAAAGATGGGGCTACTACTGTATTCCTTTGTACATACTGTATAGTGTGTACCTTTTTAGGCTTTTCCCTATATGGTGGGGCTGGAATGATAATTAATCTATGTTACACTTATGTAATTTTATCATGAATTTTATCATTAAAAGGTACATTATTCCTGAACCTGAATAATATTTTTGTTACAGTTCATGATAAAGCCCCACAACCAACAGTGAATGGGACAACACACCTAGTTGCACCTCTACCAGCTGCCACTGGCCCACCAAAGGCTATGGTTAAGCCACAAGTACTCACACATGTCATAGAAGGATTTGTTATTCATGAAGGTGAGCAGTTAATAAATATTTTTCACTGGCAAGTAAATATGGTGACTAAAATATGTATTGTAGAAGTAATAGTGCATTACTGTATAGGAAAAGATCTGAATGAGGAAGATTCACTTAACCTATTCCTGTACAGTGCATCATGAGAGGGTAGATCGTTATTGGAGGTTATAATAACGAAACTAGCCATCTAACATTATTTGTTGGATTGTTAGACATCATTAGCAGTGCTCAGATAGGTCTATGTATATCTCTTCACAGTCACTGGGGTACTGAGTAAAGTCTCAAGTGCAGAAAAGTGATTGAAAGGTTTTCTAAACGATACATCTTTTTGCTATTTTTCCAACAGTAAAGTAAAGGCTTTGTTTATTGCCCCTCTGATAGGTCTGTGTTATAGTCACCATCACAGTGAAGTAAGACTTGTTTTGTCTCGCATTCTCAAGCTTCCTAGGAACCTGTGGTGATGGTTGTTTTTTTTTGAAGTGGTCAACATTACTCCATTGGTGTTATCATCCTGGTGATTCAAGTTAGCTTAGGTTCGCTAAATTTAAATACCCTCCATCTTGTTAATATTCTAACATCATAATATAGTATCTTTTGCTCAGTGGTGTGTCATTTCTGTTCTTTTAACTTGAAAAAGTCTTTGTGAATCAAAATTAGATCAGGTACTGTATGCAGTTTTGTATCTTGATGCTCTAGATCACATCAGATAATGTGTTCCATATTTATTTACCAGAGTTATGGCTACTGTGTAATTCATATTTCTGCCTGGAAGTAAACGTCACTATTATACTGTTCATTATCTTTTTTATTTTTTATTGCATGTGCTGCAATCCACTTTCCTCCCTGTATACACACATTAAGGCAATCCAAATTATTTACACACATTGTTAAATCTTAATACAAGAAAGTGGCTAATGTGCTACATTTATCTGGTGATGATAGCCAAAGCAACATGCAGGTGATTATTGGTATTGGGTCTTAACACTTGGTGTGATGATGGTTGGTTGTGTAGGAAATGTTCCACAAGGACCACCCCACCTTCAGTATTGGGAGAGTAACTTGTGTACTATATGCTGATAGAGAAGTCCATTGCCTATTTGCTCATACTCCTATTTCAGCTCACTTATATATGCTTACCGTTCTGTCTTGATATATTAGCTCTTAATTAGGTATTCCCATACTTATAAATGAGGTACAGTATAAGGGAAGAATATTTCATAACACTCTTACATACATGTCTCAAAAGCTACTGGTGCTTATGAGTAGTAATATGTGAGAAAACCTTTGTATTCATGTGTAAAGGAATGTAGTAAAGCTAGATGTTAAAGAAGTTAACATCTTTTAACAGCTTCTGAGCCATTCCCTGTGAGTCGATCATCCTTGCTAACTGAGATATCAAAGCCTCGTCCTCCCAACTACACCAACACTAGTATCCCAGTTGCTGCCGTCACCTCCTCCTCGGCACAGCCATCAGTAGGAGGACAAGCTGAGAAAGAGAATCTACCCGATGATGAGGCTGCCAGTAAGATACTTTATTCCTTTATTTTCACTGCTTCTTGGGGTAGCTTTTTTTTTCATCGCTTTTGTGTGTATAGATGAATGGGAGGAGTTTAATGTTGAATGGCCATTTAGTATCTGAGGTGTATTGACCTTGTATGATGCTATATCTGTCTGTCTCTGTCAGCTGTTGCTATATTTAAACCAGTATAATAGACACAGAATCCTGCTATAGTCTTTAGGTCACCAACCATCTCCACACCACAAGTGTTCAAAACTCCACACCACCGCATTTTATTTTTTATTTTTCAATGACAAATAAAGCAGCCATCATTTGCCTGCATGAACTAAGAATTTATTATCTGCAGAGTAGTATTAAGGCTCATTTAACCAGTAAACACAAGAGGAAAATAAATCTGCAAAAAGTTTGTCAAAATTCTTTTGTATCAAGACAATGATTTAATAAAAGCAATAATACAGTATACAGTATTAAGGGAAGATTTTACTTTGTTGGGAACTCTAATTATGATAGGTATATTATTTTTAATATTTCATTTTCTAGTTGATAAATTCTGAATCAAATTATAGGTAAAATTTATTATTCTTCATACATATTTGGCAAGAGACAGAGTAATGCCTGTGTGTGTCCATCATTGACTGCTTAACTCCTCTGGGAACTCTGCATGTGGTTATGGCTTTACACAAAGAGTTATGATTACAATATCTAATAAAGGCATCAACTCTCTGATAGTACCACTACATGGGAGCTAATATAGTACTGTACAAGTATCTGTGCTGTATAATACATTCAAATCTGTACTTATTCCTATACGCATGCAAGAAAGTAATCGTCTCTATCCTCTACCAACAGGAAAGAAGACAGGCGAACAGATATCACCATCACCAAAGGGAGACACCGCCAAGTGTGAATTTTGTGGTAAAACTGACTTACGTTCCAAGTTCAAGAGATCCAAGAGGTTCTGCAGTACAGCTTGTGCTAAAAGGTACGTTAAGAATACATTTGTGTGAATAAGCGGAGAACATGATGGCAATGCGTAGTTTTTGGGGGAAGGATCACTGGTGGTACAGTAGTAATGGTTGGTGCTGGCTTATGTGAAAAGGAACCTTGTAACAACACATTTCTAAGGGCAATGAGATTGATTGAATGAATGACAACAATTTAAGGGAAAATGTGTGTTGTGTTTGTGTGCGTTCCTAATTTCTGCCAATTTGCATTAAGTGAGAATATTTTAGAAGTATTTGACTCGCTCATGCAAGCTTTTTCCTGCTACATTATATTGTGTGGAATCAAGAGTAATACTGTACAGACTTTGCCTTATTCACTTCATCTAGAATGGCTGTTAGATTTAGACTGCATTTGCCTAAGACATCCACTGAGCGTTTGTTCCTTTTACCAGTTTATTTGTGTTTCTTGATGTCTGTTAAGTGCAATGCTTCATTTTCATTTATATCAGTTGATTTTTATTTATTTTTCAACATTTATAAGTTGTGCTTGGTACCTGTAGTTGATATATTTGTTTATAAATTTTATCATGTGTTGTCTGCAATGTTCATCAGGTTTTTTACTTAAGTATCTTTTATCTTTCAAAACATTAAAAACTATCTCTCCAACAGATATAATGTTGGCTGTTCAAAAAGAATTGGCCTATTCAAAAACCCAGATGAGTCACCTAGTAAACGGCTGCGTGAGGACGAAGATGCGGAAGAGGCTGAAACTGCCCCCCAGTTAATGGCGGTCGAGCCTCAGGAAGTGGGGACAGTAGAAATGGAAGTTGATGAAGGAACAGTTGAGGCTGATGGATCGACAAATTTAAATTCTCCTAAAACACAGAGAGTAGACATCCTCAAGTGGACGGTAAGAAACATTTAACTGTATCTATGTTCTCCACAACAGTGAGGGGTAGAGACACTTAAGAAAGAGAATGCAAGTCAGAGAAATGTTCCAGGATTTAGATGAGATCATCCAGCTACAAGTATAACTGTAATTTAAATGGAGAAAACCTGGAAATGGTAAATTAATTTGGATATTTGGTGTTAGGAAACATTGTATGATAAAGGCAAATTAGAGGTATCCTGCAAGTGTTGGTTGAGGAGGAAATGTACTTACATGCTGCCTATAAATTTCTAAATATATAAATTAGTAAAAAATAAAAACTATATTAGAGGAACTGTCACACTTGACAGGGTAACAGATAAAGAAGTGAGAAGTGTGTTAGAAATAGAGCTATCTGTAGACACATAGATGAGTTTATTGAGATGGATTGGCAATGCTGAACATACAATATGGTGGATGAAGGTTGGTGAAACGACTCAAAGACATATCATTAGAAGTTAGGAGATCAGCAGGTAGCCCAGTGAGTAAATTGGTTGAGTCAGTCATGTACCTTTTTGGGGCCTTGAAATAGGTTTGTGTAATGTGCCAGAGCAATGACAGAATAGTCTTAGACAGTGGAGGATACCTCAATAAGACCTTGGAAAGCTTTGATGTTGCTTGTCTCAGTTGGATACATTGTACAGGTAGTTGAGAATATCATTGAGTGGATATATAGATAGTTTGAATGAACATGTTCGGAAGGATTGTACATGTTAATAACTTTTTTGTTTTATATATCAACAGGTGAAAGATGTGGTCGAATTCATACAGAACCTTCCAGGTTGTAAAGAATATGCAGAAGACTTTGCCCTTCAAGAGATCGATGGCCAGGCATTGATGCTTTTGAAAGCTGACCATTTAATGTCAGCCATGTCAATGAAGCTTGGACCAGCTTTGAAGATCTGCGCTAAGATTGAGCAGATGAGAGGTGACAGAAAAGAAGCATAAAGAGTACAAAAATTATGGGATACATTTAGAAGAGCAAGATAAATATGATGAATTAAGTGGAATGCTGGTATTACTATAATATTAATATTGTTATAGGTACAGTCTCGTTCAAGATTCTTCGAACACTGCTGGAGACAGCTGGCAACTCGAGGCCGTTTGTTTACTATAGTACGTGGTAAAAATTATGAATAAATGTAAAAGTGATCGGTGATTGGTTACTTAATTCCCCGTTGCTTAATTTAATGGTTGGGCTTTGTTGTTTCGTTTTATATTATACTACGTACTAAAGTAAACAAACCGCCTTGAGTTGCCAGCTGTTTCCAGCAGTGTTCGAAGAATCTTGAATGAGGCTGTACATCATTAAACTTTGCTCTTTTATTACAGTTACTTCCATTCTTTCAGTTTTGAAGTAACTGGAGTCTCCTTTAACCAATTAAAAGTCAAGTATTGGTATCTATTGTAAATAAAAGCTAGTACTTAAGAAGAGAAAATACATAGATAAAAATTATTTTATTTTGAAGGAAAACCCAGACTGTGACATTACTGCACTGCCGTATCTAGGGTTAAGGTATTTTTCACCATTTTCAATGTTTAGATTTTGAATGTAGTCTTTTTGTAAAAGTGAATATCAGTATATAATATAAAACTAAAATGTACATGCCAGTGTCAAGGGCCCACATTATAATGTACCGGGTGAGAATCTACCATTACTGACTACAACAGTGGAGCATCTTTATGGTAGTTGTGTTGGGGGGTGGAGTGGTGCTTGTATATTTTTTAAATATGGATCTCATTAACCTTCTAAATTAAACTTTCAAAACTTGTGCAATCATGACAAAGAATGTTAACCCTCATAAATATACTCTTTTTTTTCTTCTATATGATTTAGGAAACCTATTTTGTATCACGTTGACCAATACAGTAGTTGTAACGATGACGAGAGAGTCTAAGAAAAGATGAATGATAGGACAAGCAGCTGGAGTGTGTTGAATGCATCATGAAAATATTTTGACTTAAACATTATTTACATGCAATCTCAGTTGTTCCTAAATACAGTTACTCAACTTTATTATTCTGAGTATGTTTGAAGAGTGTTTAGCTGGTATCACAACAAATCTTTAATTCAGAAATAATATATAATAAATATTTTGTTATGTGCACTCTCAGCAACCATACTATAGTCATTTTTATTGAGCTTTGTTTTGATTGTCAGTGTGTGCATGACAAAGACAGATACTGCACAGTGCAGGAGGGTTCCACGGTTGATTTATTTATTCTCAAACACTGAGGGAAAAGTTCCTCCTCCTCCAAAACTAATAAAAAAGAAAATATAAATTCTAGTTTCATGGAATTTAATCCTTCATGTTTGGGACTTGAATGTTTGTACAGAAGAATGTTTTGTAAGTTGATAGACTTAGATATTTATGGTTGTTGCACCGCCAGTGACTCCATTTTGTCATATCTTGTATGCATAAACACATTAAAAAATACTGTTCTTCCTTTTTTGTTCCTTTACTTAAGATATTGTTTAGATGAATTGCCACAACATCTCTGGGGAAGTTGTCAATGTGCACCAAAATCATACATCACACTTCATTTATTACAAGGATCATATTCTGCATTAAATTGCATTTAAAATTACAACTCACTGAACAGAATTGGTGAATTTTTGGAGGATCTATGATGTGAGTATGTGCAAACTTTAAACCTCTTTTCTCAAAACTTGGTTTTGGGGAATTTGCCCTTACATTAATAAAGGCCTCCTATATTATGCACTCAGTCATGTGTGAGAAAAAGAGGGAAGCTTGGGTGTGACTTCTGAAATTTACGAGAGGAGAAAGTTGCAGACAGTATAGTTCAAATTTTTGCTACGATAATTTGTGACTTTCATATTTGGAAACTTAAGTACAGTAAGAGTGTATACAGTATATATTTCAGTAGTGAGGATTGCCTGTAACAAATTCTGGTCACTCTTGCTACCTCTCTTGCACCATAGAAGAGAAAATGTACATTTACTACACACCATTATCTTCCACTCACTGTGTATAAATAACCTACTGACATTACTGATAAAATATGAGATTAATATGTATTGAATATCACTTATGAAATTGAAAATATATAACAAACTAGATAAAAAGAAATGCCCTCTACAAAAAAAAAAGGGGGTATGTAGCTATAAAAAATATTTTATGTAATGTATCTTAATCAATCTTCATCACTGCTCCATGCATCCTGAGTTGCTTGCCGTCCTGCAGGTAGTGTAGAACAACTTGCGGTGTGACCTGTACAACTTGGTGTTTCTTCCTCCTCTTCATTTGAGAGATCACTCGTCAACAACTTCTTTGGGATCCATGTTATAAAATTACGATCATATCCAAAGCTATACAGATTCTGAGAGCCAGGATTATATACCACACCTAACACTGCTGAAAAATGCCCCTCTAAAACATTTACTAATTTTCCAGAGAGGAGTTCATACACAAGAATTTTTGACTTGCTGGGTACAAAAACTAGATCAGGATATGTACAGTGTGAGACAGCCATCCTCATAGTTCTCTTGAGCTCCGTATATGTCTCTCCATAGTCTACATTCATATATTCCCCAGTATTTGAGTTCCACAGCCTCAGGTCGCCATAATAGCTGAACGACAACAACCACAAGCCATCATACGTAAAACAGAGAGAAGTCACACGACTTTTATGGGCTTTGGGAATTTTTTTAATTTTTTTCTTGTATCTGGAATTAGTTTCAGGCAAAGAATTCTCCATATCCAAGGCCATGAAGAAGGCACGACTCGACCGTACATCCCACATTCTCACCGTGTGGTCATTCCCACCCGACACTAAGATGTGTTGATTACGCGGTGACCACTGAGTGATCTGCACTGGCCCATTATGACCCTGAAGACGATGAGTGGATGATCCACTACGCAGGTCACACAGGATCACTTCACCTGAAAGCATATCAGATTTAAATATTAAAATCATTACAAGTTTATTAATGCCACACAAGAGTAATGGAGAACTATGTTATCACGATGGCTTTTTATTTATCCTCCCAATATTCATCAGTCTTTTCTGGTTTCCATTCACTTTTTTCCAGACCAATTCAAATTATTTTAGCTTCATTTGAAGTCATTTATACTTTTATCTTTACCCTTTCCTGCATTTTAAAGGTTAACATCAAAATATCACTTGAATACTATACTATACTATACTTAAAACTATTTAAATCATGTTTGGTTTGCCTGCACACAAGCATAAGATCTATATCAAGTTCAATTTCCAGGTTGGTTCAGTCAATCGAGTTAATTTATACAGTTCCATAAATAATAATCACTGATTCAGAAAAATGTGGGAAATCTATCAATTGAAAATAAATTACATGAACACAAAAGTGACAAAAAATGGAGTCATACCACTATCTCCAGCCACCGACAGTAATGAGTGTTTTGAGGCGACGGGTGACATGTGGTGGTGAAGAACATAGCAGTCAATGTTGAATTGGTCAACTGGCTTCATATGATTAGGGTCCCATATCTTCACCAATTTATCTTTACTTGAGGTGCTAAACAAGCCTGTGTCTGCTGGATACCACTGAACACAATCAACCTGAAATATAGGGTTGAATATTATGTATTGTTTCAATCTAAATTAAGACTGACATTTACACATCCAAGACATAGTGATGCTAAAGTTTTCAGTTGGTTGTAGATGTTGACAAAAAGGTTCAGATATTTCCCTAAAATTTCAGTTCAATGTAGATCTCAAATTTTTCCATCACTTGTATGTCTCTAAAAATTTCAGTCATCTGTAGATCTTTCCCACACCTAACAGTCACTTACCATCACTACCACTTCAGTTATCGAAGATCCATTGCATTAAGCATCAAATATTGAGCAAAATGAGACCAAACTTACCTTTTTAGCATATATGTTTAGCATATATGTTTAATAATACTGTACATATATTTAATAACAAGGGAAAGGGATGAATATTTTGGAGGCAACAGCAGTGTGTGAATGACAGAGGAGTGTGACTTCAAGTGACGGGTTGTGTGATAAACATCATACCATAGATATCTTGCGGAAGGGGAACACTGCTGTGGAGCTCGTGTGTAACAACAGTTAACAGTGATTGAATGACAGCAAATGAAAGTCTGTTTGTTATTGATTCTGGTCACCATGCAGTTCAGTGAGACAGGACATGTAAGAATAAAAAAAGAGAGAGAAAAAGATACTGATTAATATATGTTATTGTAGAGTCGTCAGTGAAATGGTCGACACCTCCCACGCTAAACTTAATAGGGGTTATCAACTGTGTATAAAGTACTTAGGGAAGGAGTCTGGTTGTAATGTGACCAACCAATAAAAATTCACCTACATAGGAACCAATTACAGACAGACAGACTGTTTCCACTCCATCTTGTTTGATTTTTGGGAGGTTGACAATACCTGATACTTGTGACTTCCCCTCCTGCCACCCACAACTGAGGCCACTTCAGCATACACCCGTCCCTCCTTGAAGATGGAAGTATCATATATGGCCACACCTCCATCACTTAGGCCACACAGCAAGTACCGGGAGTCAACACTCTCTAGGTCAGCGTGGGTCACAAAAGATGTAGGAATCTGTGGAGTTGTGAATTCATAAAAGATAAATGAACAGTGAGGACCTAAAACTCTCTCATCCATCCATCTCTCACTTTCCAAATAGGTTAGGTTCCTTGATAGACATTCGGTTATTGAATTTGGGAAAAGTGAATATAATACAGTGCTCCCTCGCTTAACGAAATTTCGGTTAACGAATTACCTTCCGTAAGAATCTTCATTTCGGTTAATGAAATTCTTACGAAAATGTTTCGACATACTTTAGCTTGCTCACCAGCTGGAACATTAGTTCGCCAATACAGAAATCGGTTCTAGGGCTTACATTCGTTAAAATTGGAGTAAATATCAAGAAGGTTGTATTATTCAATAATTTTCCAAGTTTTATATTAAAATTTTTAGTCATTTTAACACTTATTTAACATAATTGCAGTACAGGGAACTAGTTTTTGGTGCGCCCATCAGCCACTTCACTCACCCACCAAGGCCTCAGTTTGTATCTGTTCAGTGGAGGAAACATCTTGCTTGTGGATCTCTTGAACACAGAGCATTTTTAAATTTTTACAGTACAATTATTGGTCATTCTGAAATTTATTTAACATATTGACAATATACAGTGCAGTGCAGTGTTGATTTAAAGAAATTAATCTAGAATTACACCAAGTGAACTTAAAATTTTATGGGTGAAATGACGGCATCAAGCATGGGGTGATTTTCTTCCACCCCCACTTCCTTCTCCTCCACCCCCACTTCTAATTCCCATCATCATCATCATCATCAACCAGGAGCCTTCTACATACACACCTCAAAGTAAGTGTACTTTACTGCATTTTTTTTTACTTTGTATGTAATTTTCGGTGAGCTGGAACCAATTACCCAAAATCCCATTGAAACAATGGTTTCGGTTAACGAACGACCTTCTGGAACGAATTGTGTTCGTTAACCGAGGGACCATTGTAGTTGGATAAAATAGGGTTCAGTTCCAGAACTACAACCCCCCCCCCCCCACATTATACCTAAACAATTGAATTAGTTCATGAACACCTAAAAAACCCACAATATTATACCTCAAAAAATTTTAAAACTAAATAAAATACAAATACTGTACTGTACTGTATATACACAGTTGGTACAATTCATGAACTTATTCCCCAGCTCGCTCCTAGGTTGGGCCTGACACACGATTTGATTTTTTATCAGACCATCATTCAGATAAGCCAAATCACCGGACAGCAAAAGAGAGGTGTAAGAATAGAAAATTCAGGTAAGCGAATTTTCGGATAGCAATCATTAAGATAGCGAGAGATACCTTTACTGTATCCTGCTGTAAACACTTAAAACGATGCTGGATTTAAGACTACTAATACAGTATTGGGTACAGTATTAATTATTTGCTTAGCACACAAATGGAATACAGTGGTCCCTCGGTTAACGAACAAAATTCGTTCCACAGTCGTTCGTTAACCGAAAATTTTGTTAACCGAATCCATTGTTTCAATGGGATATTGGGTAATTGGTTCCAGCTCACAGAAAAGTACATACTGTACAAAGTAAAAAAAAAAATGCAGTAAAGTACACTTACTTTGAGGTGTGTACAGGGTATGTAGAAGGTTCCTGGTTGATGATGATGATGGGAATTAGAAGTGAGGGCGGAGGAGAAGGGAGAAGAGAAGGAAGTGGGGATGGAGGAGAAACCACCTTTCAGGGGACCCATGTTTGATGCAGTAATTTCACCAATAAAACTTAAGTTCACTAGGTGTAATTCAAGATTATTTTATTTAAATCAACACTGCACCACACTATATATTATCAATATGTTAACTAAATTTCAGAATGACCAATAATTTTAATGTAAAAATGCAAAAATATTCAAGACACCAACAAAATCGATGTTCACTCCACTGTCAACAAAGCCAAACTGACGCCTGGTGGCTGAATCAAGCGGCTGATGGGCGCACAACAAACTAGTTCCCTGTACTGCATATATAATCAATATGTTAACTAAATTTTAAAATGACTAATAATTTTAAAATAAAAAATGCAAAAAATATTAAAGAGCACAACTTTCTTGATATTTACTTCACTGGAAACGAATGTAAACATAGAACAGATTACTGAATTGGAAGACTAGCCCATCAGCTGATGCTCACAACAAAACATGTCTTTCGCAAGGATTTCGTTAATCAAAGTTTTATTCGTTAACCGAATAGAAGATCCTTATGGGAGGTAATTCATGAACTGAAATTTCGTTAATCGAACCGTCCGTTAACCGAGGGACCACTGTACTGTATATTGCGTGTGATGCCACAACAAATGAATACCGGGTACTACATCTCTTATAGTGTTGTTTGGCCATGGCTGGTAAACTGCCAGGCAGAGGTGATGGATTAAGCTGACCTATTGCTGCACACACCATCACCATCCATCATCAACACTATTTTATGGCCATTTTCCACACTTGTGTGGGTTAGTTGCTCTTGCCGGAGTGAGGCCAATTTAATGTCCTTGAATTATCTGAACATTATTTGAATTCACTTTACAAGATGATCTCTGAGGGTTACTGTCTTAAGGTCAATGTTTTTGAGGACCTGCTAATAACTGCCAGGAAAATGGAAGTCACTGAAGAAAAGTTTACCAGATTATTAATAAAGGAAATTCTCTACTGTACTATGAAGGAGTTTCTAAATATAAAGTATATACTGTAGAGATGTTGATTCACTTAAATCCTCAATGAAACATTGATTCTTAGAAACACATTGTTTTGGACAATGAACTTACTGTATGTTTTAAGGCCATTGCTTATATCACCTCCTTATATTAAAACAGCATTACTGTAATAAATTCTATAACAAAACATCAGTACTTCTTGAATTATTTTATCCCAGTAATTAAAGACAATACTGTACTGTACTCAAAGAACAAAAATTATTGAGTTTCTAAAATAATAACCAAACAAGTATTGAAATCAACATCCTTTCACAAATAAACTGTGTAACAATTATTTACACTTCCCACTATAAAACAGTGATAAGTCACCTGCTCCTTCTGGTTCAGTGTAACATCAGACAAGACGTGGCTGGCAGCGAGGTAGGTTTTTAGGTGAGACGTGTAGCGTCGACTTGATAACTGACCAAGTCTCACCTTCTCCAAGTACTTGACTGTACCCAAGTTGGCATCACTTGATTTGAACTCACAAAGATGTAATTCAGGGATGTTACTGAAATCTTCCCGTAACATATTCAATTTCACCCGTCACGTGCTGGTCCCAAGTGACGTGACACTCACATTATCTGAAAAGAAAGTAAAAACAACACACCGACTTAATGGCTGAAGGAGGATCTTCAACAACACAGGATGGGATACATGACATAGTATATTTTCATGTAAAACCCAAAAATGGTTTGAAGATTTTAATGAAGTTTAAAAAACATTCACTTGCTATGATAAATATGCTATATATAGTACATGCATATTTTAATTAGTTCAGATGACTGATTACCCAGTGCATTATTTAAGTGTTTCTTACAGTGTCAAAATTTTTCGATATTTCTGCCAGGAAAGCCTTAAATCAAGTTTCTGAGGGCAGCAAAGTGTCTTAAATTATTCCCCATCATATGACAGTGGTAAGTACAAGTGTTGCCACCCCCCCCCCCTCCCTGCTACTGTGTTTGTACAGTCGGGGTCAAAAGTCTTGAACACTTAGCAATATCTGGCATCTACTTCTGAGTTATACATATATGATTGAGATATACTAATAACACTACTTTTTATCTTCTTTTCTACGGGGATTAGCTCACCGGCACACAGGTCACTGACCCACATCGGGGCCTCGGGCGAAAATGTAATAATAATAATAATAATAATAATAATAATAATAATAATAATAATAATAATAATAATAATAAATAAAGAACCACAAAGAAATACAAAAATGAAAAAAAAAGATCAAGAGAGAGAAACAATATACAGTATGTACGTTTGTCTTGTCAATGGTAAGAGAAACAATTGAGACCCTGCAAATGTGTGTAAATGAGGCAGAAAGTCAGATCAGCAACCTGGCACTTGGTCACAATTTTCGTGATGCCATATGGCAGCAGGGTCTACCATTAGACAACACATTATGCTTCCAATATCTTCCCAGGCGGTAGTACCTCCCTGTTTGATAGCTGCCTACTACCTACTTGTCATCACATATTATGCCTGAGCCACAAAATGGGATAAAACTCTCCTTAATACCTTAGATCTTCGGGTACTACTTACAAGCCAAATACTGTCAAGTGTTCAAGACTTTTAACCCAGACTGTACATCTGACTCTAGCAAGATTTGACCAATACATACCCGAGTTTGGCAGTTCTCACTAGATTTTTCCTGCTAAAATCAGATACAGCTCAAGTGTTGGTTTGTTTTCATTCACTAGAGTCACAGACTGGCTCCTGTGACACATACTGTACCTAGGTCAAGTCATAAAAACACCAAGAAATTTAATGTTCAATTTTCGAGAAGCCTCCACTAGATTTATGTATTTCTTGACGTGGTTTATACAACTGACAACAGAGCAGAGATGAAAATGTCAACAGAGATGCCAGAGTTTATGAGTGCAGCTCCAATATCTATCATTCTTAAAATAACATATACTGAACTGTACTCTCTTTTCAAGTAAGTTATTACTAATGAAAAGTTTTGGAGTAAAACATGTCACTACGTACGTATCCTTGTGATAATATACACTGTACTGTACATTCTCTTCACCTCTTATTTATTGCTCAACACACACTCCTTCACGTACAAACATAACTTGTGATACTGACGTCACTTAGTAATGTTTTTTTCTATGTACACTTTAAAATAATCTATCTTTCTATAATAAAGATCACATAAAATTTATATCAGTCAGCTCGAACACACAGGTCACTAACACAGAGTAACCTTGATCTACAGACCTTGAACATGGTCATAGCACTATAATGAAACACACCCCATGAAGCATCAACCCCAACACAAGGTTGACTGTGTCCAAGTGAAGGTCGAGACAAGGTCAAGTCAATGTAGTGTAGTTGTGCTGCGTGGGGTGCATCTGAACCTGGTAATGACATTCTACAACCGGACTATTCACTCATCTCCACTGAAACACGCTTACTAACACCTTTATTTGGGTCTCCTTGGTTAAATTGGCTTAATATTTACCATTATCTGTATACCTGCACTGTCTATGTACACACGACTAACCATAGGAGCTTATAGGAGAAATGTACTGCATAATCAGCCATGTCATCACTACACATATACTCCCACATATACTTGTAATTTATAAACATGACGGACCTTAACCATATTTATGTTACTAAAAATACTGTTATTAATGTAAAAAAAAGAATAATATTAAAAAATCTAACCAATATTACAGTGACACTCCATCAGCTGGTTGTGTTTACTATTGTGTGTTAACTTTACTCACCCAGGGATCAACCTTCTAAAGTCTGTGTAAAATGTAGAATATGAAGGTTTTCTTTCTAAAATTATCTTATACAATTACAATTAATATTTTATAAGTGATAATTAGAAACACTCCCAACACATGGTAGTGGCACAGGACAATCACGTGACACCATAATGATGTTTGTAATTATCGTTATCATTATCATAAACTACCGTATAAAATAGCTACTATATTTTGCATCTATTCATATAATTCTAAAATAGCCAGATACATCATTAGACGGCACCCAACAAACATGTGCTTGTGGAGATGATGGTAGCTAATATTAGTCTGTGTGGTGACCTTGTACTTGTTATGCCATCTCCTTAAAGACCTTGAAAGACAATCTCCGTAAAGACTGTAGCGAATATAGTAACTTTTATTATGTTAAGCCACTTTATCAAGACAAATTATGTGTCTTAGGAGTTATAATAAGTTGGGTACAGTGGCACGTCACCATGGTATAATAAGAACATGACAACTGAACCACATATTACCCCAAGACGATCAAGGTCAAGTTAAACGTACCCTAACACTTATTTACGTTACCAACATATTAGCCATACCCAGAGCTTTACAAAAATAGTATTAATCCATACATTTATATCTGTATTTTATGAATAAATGGTTGTGGTAAGTTGAGTTTGTTAAAAAAAGGAAATAAATATGTGATGGATTGGCTAGGTCGCCCGTGTGTCTGTGTGTGTGTGTGAGTGAGTGTGAGTGTGTCTGTGTGTGTATGTGTGAGTGTGTGTGTGTGTGTGTGCGTTTGTTTGTGTTGGCCAGACAGCTGCCGGCCAGGTTCACGCATAGACGCATTTGTGTTCGTGAGCTGCTGTCTGCTAGTGCCTCCCTCTCTTACTGCTGCCACATCATCACCACATCCAAGGTAATCACACCACCATATCTTGACACTCGTTAACAGAGAAAAAAAAATTAACCATATTTTTTTTTGCAGAATAACTTAAGTGTTGTTGGTGCAGTAGGTGTTAACGAGGTGAACAGGTAGTTTAGGAGCCAGTTTTGTGGTGGTGTGAATGAGTGTAGGTCTGGTGAGTGACTGTGTGTGGTGTACAGTACCTGTCACCCCTTAGTCCACACCTGTAATGAACCTTTGTGGTTACGATGATCAATAAATTCCGATCTAGTTTTCAGGATCTCTGTAGAAATAAGAGAGTTTATTTATGGACATATATAGTTATATAAGGCTGTGTTTACCACCATTATGTCTGTACCTTTATCATATATTGTATACCTGCACTGTATTATGATTAAACATACCAGGTAATTAACTGATAACAATATTCTTGGTATTATTGCATTTTCACACCCCACATTCCTACCACTAATCTATTATCATATTCGTATAAGACGTCTAATTATAAGATAATTTTCATCTATTACATTACCGTCGCAAATGTATAATAACGGAGATAGCATATCCAAAATTTTCTCTTATTTTCTTCCATTAACCTTCCGCCATTATCGCCTACCTCACCTCCCTCACTGTGTCTCCTTCATAAATCATCACATGCATGCGTTCCCGTCACACGGCCAGTCAAAAGCTTTTTTTTTTTTTTTTGCAACCAATTAAAATTATTGTTTATTTAATTCTTAGTATTTTTGGTCCAATCAAATTCGATTTTTATTTTGGGTCTAATATTTTGAAATTCAAATTCATTTCCGACCATGGAAGTCTGCGATGGGTGTCAATTAAATTATATGGAACTGATTGCGAGTTTTGGGGAAAAAAACGAAGAAACTATACCATTTTCTCGATCGCCTGGTGTTCTTCCAACCTCAGTAAAGTGTACTAAGAGCAAGACTGAATGTAAATATCGCAAAGACCAACATATGTGGCATTGGGTAAGAATCCCAGAATGCAGCGACGAACAAGACCCAGGCCAATAAGGTAAGAAATAGGTGATTCCATCATGTGGTGAGTCGGTTAGGTTTGGTTTTTGTGTTTCTAGTGTTTTTTTGGTGTATTTTTTATTCGTTTAGTCATTAATTTTTTCGGAAAACGTCCCACAAAAAAAATCGAAAACAAAACGGCCAATGTCCGATGGAAATGAAGGTCATATTCGGTCTAAACACACAAATACACTAGAAAAATATATTTTTGACTTTCTAACAGAGTGGGGTGCGCTTATGCAAATTTACCATATTCTGTATTGACTTATTGAAAACTAGAGCGATCAATATTCTTCTCTTTATAATCACACTACAACCTTACCTGGGTTGTAAGTACAGGTAGTGACAAGTTTAATTTGCATGAATATTTTCTACATACATACTAAAGACAGTACTGTAGATCTCAAAACTAAAGTGCATTGGATGAAGTTTAATTGGTAACACTGACTGTTTCCCAGTAACATTTCCATAGCTTACCTGACTGTAAACTAACGGGGTCTACCCATTTCGTCAACAACCCGTTTTGTGATCACTGTTTTCAACCCGTTTCGTCACTGCTTTCATTCCCATTAATATACAGTATACACGAAAATAACTGTTGCTTGGGAAAGAAAATAATAAAAAACACCAAGACAATTTATTAAAATAAAAACATTGTTAATATGCCTGCAATCATCTCACTGCGCTGGTGCCAAATCACCTTCATTTATTCTGTATTTTGTTTATTTACCAATGTTGAATCGTTTTCTTTATTAAACAGTTAATATTCATGTATAGTGTTAACACAATAATTCTTCTTTTGTTCTGTATTTTGTTTAATTACCAATGTTTTAATCTTTTTTTTTATTAATTAATATTCATGTATAATAATAACACAGTACTTCTCGAGTCGTCTGTATACATGTATAGTTTCTATTCGTGTAAAATAATAACTTTCAATTTGTCACTAATACCAGCGACTGTTAGTGGTGGCGAAACAAATTTGATACCGGTGACAAAATGGGGTTTTAGTGATGAACCGTATTGGTGACGAAATGGGGTGTATCCAAACTAACCTACCAAACCTGACCTAAAATAATATACTTTAATCCTAGGTTAGGTTTGGTTGAGTTGGGTGGTTTATCTATGACAAATTATATAATATAAAATAGTTAGTTTTAGTTATATCCTCTTTGCCACAGGTTGGCTCGTTAGCCGCTTGGGTGGTCGGTCACGTCAATAATACGCACTGTTGGCATGCACTGGCTCCTGAATATATCGGAACTTGCTCCAGTGTTGGTCAAGTCTGGCCTTGAATGAGCTCACACTCGGTGCTGTCACAACGCTGTTGCAGATTGTTCCAAGAGTTCACAATTCTCACTCCGAAAAAGTTTGCCCTCACAGTTTTCTGGACTTGTGGTTTCTTTGACCTTGAGCTGTGACCCCTTGTGGGACAGACGTCCGCCAGCTCCAAGTATGTACATTCGACTGAGTAGTGCCCCCTGAGATGTTTATACACCTCGATTAGGTCGCCCCTTGCCTGTCTGTAGTATAAACTAGGTAGTTGCTGGTGTTGCAATCTCTGGGTAGCTGAGGTTCCATAGAGAAGGCACCAGTCTGATTCACCTTCTTTTCACGATGGCCCGAGAACTTAAGTTCATTGCCAACATACACACCCAGGTTCTTTTCACATTCGGTCTCAATTAATGCAGTCTCTTCGACCTGTTGAGACATGTGATACACCTCCTTACTATTGGTGTGACCCAGGTGCATCCTTTTGCACTTTGTGACATTGAATCTCGGCAGCCATTTCCTCAACCATTCTTGGAGCTCATAAAGATCTTTCTGTAGCTCTTCACAGTCTTTGGTTTCTTAATCTCCCTAAATAACTTGGCATCATCTGCAAACATTTGTATGGAGGAGTGTATAGCTTCGGGCATGTCACTGTTTGCGGTCATGCAGAAAGTTTCTGATACACACTTGGACACTTCCCCGAATGCCGTACCCTTCCAGTTTGATTCTCAGCCTTTCATGGGGTACACTGTTGAAAGCTTTGGCAAAAACTAGGTACAGTATATATTGTCAATATTTCTGCCGTGTTCTAGAATTTGAGTTTAAGCATCCACATCCAGGACCTTGAGTAAATGCGTTAAGTAGGGGAATCCTGGCATAAAACCGTGTTGGCAGTCCTTTACAAGGTTGTTTCGTAGTTGATGTTCCATCATGGTATCTCTCATGATGCTCTAGTACTTTACACACTATGTTGTGAAGGCTCACTGATCTATAATTATTCGTGAAGTGACAATCGCCCTTCTTGAATACAAGTATAGGACTGACGTAAGCCATTTTCCAGTCATCGGGGACCTTTAATATGGTGTCACAGGGAGCATTGACGTAGATTCTTGTTTTGGACGAAAAAATCGCCAAATTATGAAAATTGGAATTGCCCTTCCCTATCAGAACATTTTAGAGGTTAGAAAAAAGTTTCCATCTTCAAAAAGTTCCCAGATGTTGCTGCTAAACATGAGTCAGTGTATCAGAGTGCAGTACAGCTTACTCTAACTTTACCATTTAAACACATTATTTTTCACTTTCTAGATAAAAAGGGTTTGGGGGGCAGAAAAAACATCTGAACATACATTTCAGCATAAGTGTTTAAAAATATAGAATATGTTAAACAAAATGTACAACTTGACCTGTTGGTTAAGTTTCTTGTTTCAAATATATCATTCAAGTAATTAGTGTTAATTAACAACTCTTCAAATAATTAAAGATATATAGAAATTCAAAATGCTGATTACTCTATACTGTATCTGCAAGTTTTAAATAGGAGGAGATTTAGAGTTTTGTGTATAAAACTTTTCTACATTAATGTTGTTAATAGATTTAGTGTTGAACTGCAAATACTGATTGTCCTGTTAGCTGTGTGGTATTTTTACTAGAACATAGGTATTGTGTCGGGAAAAAGTGGAGTTTGGGGGTCGGCCCGGTCTCTTATTTCAATTAATCCCATTTGTTATGTTGTTCACTTTACGCGTTTCTCGCTTTAAGCAGGCCTCCGTGGGTTCAATTGACCGCGTAAAGTGAGGGTTCACTGTATATATATATATATATATATATATATATATATATATATATATATATATATATATATATATATATATATATATATATATATATATATATATATATATATATATATATATATATATATATATATATATATATATATATATATATATATATATATATATGCTGATAACACAAGGAAAGAATATACCTAGTGTTTTCATGCTGGTAATCTCACACTGGTGCGAGTACAGACTGTACCTCACCCCTGAAGATGTGAATTACACTTAAAAGCCGCTTCTTTTGGGGAACTTGTGTTTTCTTCTTCCTTGTGGTTATCAGCATATACCTAGATCACGCCACACTACAGTGATTTAATATTTTGCATATATATATGTGTGTATATATATATATATATATATATATATATATATATATATATATATATATATATATACACTCACTTTACGCGGTTAATGTAACCCACAGGATACCACGGAAAGTGAGAAACCGTAAAGTGAATAACATAACATATGGGATTAAATGAAATAGAGACCAGCTGACCCCCAAACTCCACTTTTTCCAACACAATAACTATGTTCTAGTAAAAATAACATCTTAATTTTATGATGGTACATGCACACAATTAATACTTAAGAGAAATAGAGAAATACAGTTGCCAAGTTAATGTCCATTAAAATAATGGACTCCACTCCCTCCCCCTCTTCTCACAGTACACTCACTGGCTCTTCCCTCTGAGAAATTTTGGGGGGAAAACCAGGTATAGTAATAAATAATACCTCAAACTAAAGTTAGGATAATATAATTGACATTGCTGGATTCCTTGTAAGACCAGGAATATTTTGAATATAAATGTCATATATTTTTCACAAAAGATAACATATTTACTCAGAGTAAACATTACAT